GCAGCAGCCACTGCACTCCAGTCTGGGCAACCGAGTGAGACTCCAACTCAAAAAAAAAAAACAAAAACAAACAAAAAAAAAAACTTCACCCCAAAAAGGACACATGTGCTTCCTGATCCCTGAGGCCACACATCCATCCTCAGCCTACACTCATACTCAAGGATACTCACCACCTCATATAACACTGAACACTAAGGACCACTAGTCATCACACTCTACTCCTCCCATAAACACACACCTCCATTCTGTCTTGATCCCCATTAGCACACACTAGTCCTTCAAGAAGGTCGCACTACATCTTAACTCCTATTAGCACCCACAATCTCCCCTTTATCTCCTATCCCATCAGCATCCAAAGCCCTAACATATCACACTGAACTCAGCATACACTCAGCCCTCTCTAAGTAACTCTAGTCATCACGTTCTTGGGCCCCTACCTTGCTCAGCTGCCTGTTAGCTTCTCCATGTACTGACCCCCTCATTAACATATTATTCCCCATGATTTTGACCCCTATTAACACACTTAGGTGCTCTACTGGTGACCCTGCATTAGCACCCACCGGACCTTCTCCATGTTGCCCTGAATCCCATTAACACAAAGTGAACCTCCTGACCAATTTTGCCCACGCTCAAGGCCCTTCACAGCTATGGCCATCTTTAACACACATTCCAGTCCCTGCACTATCTTATCCCCTCCATCAGCACAAGCTGAACCTTCACTCCAACCTGACCCCTGTTAGCACACACTGGGTCTCATACACTCCTGGCTTCCCTATTAGTACACCCTGAACCCTTACTCAGCCCTATTCTACAGGGCTGAGGAACAGACACACTGTTCTATAATGGCCTGAACCTCATTAGTGCACACAGGTCTTCATTCAACCCTGACCCCCATTAGCACACCTAGATCATCACACATTCCTGTCTTCTACTTCTCTTTGCTTCAATCCCTTCACAGCTATATCCTGTTGGTTCACATTTGGATGTCTTTATGCACCCTGATCCCCCTTATTACACATTAGATCCTCTCCACAGCTCTGTCCCATCCCATTAACACTCCCTGGAACCTCAACACAACACACTCCGGTCCCCCACAGACACAAACACACTATCTTCACAAAGTTGTGACATTCATTAGTATATTCCAGATCTCACACAGCTCTGACTCTTCCCTCAATGACACACATTTAAGTGCTTCTATGGCTCTAAACCCACATTCAGAGTCACTAGAACGTCATATACTGTATTATCCTGCCCCTTCCCAGTTTGCCCTGGAGTCTTACATTCCGTGTTCATGGACACACACCTCACACCACTGTAACCCTCTTACAGTGCTAAGACACTTTTCTCATCACCACCCCCTCCACACATGTAGATACACAATTCTCATACCTGTTAGCGCAGGTTTAGGCCTTCAACTGTCCTGCCCCCTTTGTACACCTTCACCCTCCACCACCCTGCCTTCATTACCATTATACTGGGCCTCACACTAGCCAGACCTTTATTACCACATGCACACACCCTCTACAGCCATGACCCATTAGCACACACACAGCACTTGAGTCCTTCGACTACCTGGCCTCCATGAGCACACCAGTACTCTCATACACCGCAGTCTCCCATGGACAGACACACGGCATTAACACCATCCCGACCCTCATCACCACACACGAGGCCTCAGTGCCCTGATCCTACTGGCACACATTCTGGTACCTCTACCATCCCATCCCCCATTAACACACACTGAGCCTTTCTACGTCCCTACTAGTATGTCCTGGAACTTGCCCGACACCTTACCTCCTATTACACACCCTTGGGGCGCTCGTCGCTCTGCACCCCCCTTTCCATTAGCAGACATTGGACCTCAAACCTCACACAACCCTAAGGCTTATTACCACATGTTCCGACCCCTGCACTGCTCAGGCCCCCATTAGCAAAGCTCGAGTCCTTCACCACTCTGCCACCCATTTCCACACCCTCAGGTCCTCTGATCACTCTGCTCCCCATTAGAACCCACAGCACTTCTCATCCCTAGCTTCCAGGACCGGCCCAGGGCGGGGCCAAGGTCAGGGAGGCCCCAAATGACCCCCTGTCCTGGTGCATTCTGGGAAATTCGCTGGGGGAGAGAGCACCTGCCAGGCCGGCAGCCCAGACCCCCAGGCACCGCCCGAGGTTGGGGTTGGTTCTGCAGGAGGAGGGGCAACCCCCACCCCACGACTCGGGGACGCGCTCACCGGCGGGGGCG